CTCAAGAAGGCAAGCAGAGACCAGAGGGCAAAGACTTCATGACATTTTTGCCAATGTTCTTATCAGACAACCCTAACCCTAAGTGTGGCAAAGGGTAAGAGCCATGTTTGATGTATCTTACTTAGCCCAGTGTGTTGAAGTTACTTGCTGTGGAAGTGTAACTTCAAGTGTAACTACTTGCTGTGGAAGTGTATGTCTGCAAGGCTGGGTATTTAATGACCTTCTGAAAGGCAGACAGACATTGACATCTTGGCATTGAAACAAAACTGGGAAAACAAATGCATCATCAATTAAAAGGAGAGCTACTTTTCCCTATACAAAGAAACTGTATAGTCAGTCTGTCCTAGTATATCCTGTGCAATCTTCAAATGTGTTGTGCTCTGAAGCTTGTCAGTTTTGGGAAACGTTAAAAACAGGATTTTAAATTATAAAAGCTAGTAAATTTGAATGGTGGTCACTGATACTGACATCTAAAATGTTACTGTGTTTATGTAGAGGACATGCTGCATACAGCTCTGCTGTCAACTTTATAAACAACAAATCTGATGTTGGAGCCACTTATTTTATGTCTTACCATACTGTACTGAAAACATCATCTGATTTTATTGATGCTATGAAGAAAGCTCGGGTTATAGCAGATAACATCACTGAAACCCTGGGCATCAAAGAGAAGAACTACCGGGTGTTTCCTTACAGGTATGCTTACGTCTTTCTTGCCTTAGCAATAAATACTCAACTTGAGCAACTAGGAAAAGATACTGGCTAGTAACATCTTAAAGACTTGAGTCTTGAGTTTTGTTTAACAGAAGGTAATAACAGAGATTCTGGAATTTGTAGTAAAACCACAAAAATGTAACTTATACCCATAGCACTAACTCTGTCAACTGTGGTTGATAACTAACTTAACTTGTCTGTCACTACAAAGGTAGCTCTGGCTTCAGCTCAAGCTCTTCCTAGCTTTTGTAGTAGGGTTGAATAGTTCCAGCTTGAGCAGATCTGTTGATCTGGGTAGTTGCAAGCTGTACTGTGCATGTATTGACTTCAAACTTCAGTTATTTAAACTTAAAGCAAAGGCAGCAGTGTTGCCAAGTATAGCTTATCTAACACTTGTATGATTAACATACTAAAGACTGTGGAAGAGTACCACAATGAAATTGAGTTGGAATGGGTATCTGTACAGCTGATCTCTTTGAACCAAAGAATCCTATCGATCCTTGTGGCCTCACTGTGCAATGAATCTGTTCAGACTCTCTGCAGTTGTTTCTCCAGACACTTCAGTTGATCTGAGGAGCTGCCTTTTGGCAGCTACTGGAGCTGGAGATCTGGACTGTGGGAATTACTCTGACTTCCAGATACAGCCTTTATTTGAAGTGTTAGTGAGGAGCTGTCATGTAACAGCCAGCATTTCCACAGGAGTTACTCTACTGATGCTAGAAAGCCAGTTTCTGTTGGTGACCCCTGTTAGGAGGGAAGTACTTTATCTGTAGTACAGAAGCTAATCTAATATTAGCATGTAACAAGGAAGGTGGCTAACTACACCTTCTCTTCTTTCTACAGTGTGTTTTATGTCTTCTATGAACAGTACTTGACAATTGTGCACGATGCTATCTTTAACCTCTGCATCTCCTTGGGATCGATATTTTTGGTGACAACTGTGCTGCTTGGTTTTGAAGTATGGGCTGCTGTTGTAGTTTCAATAACTATTGCTATGATCATCATCAACATGTTTGGGGTGATGTGGCTCTGGGGCATCAGCTTGAATGCAGTTTCATTAGTAAACCTTGTCATGGTAAGTTAGCAAGACATCTCTGTTTCTGTTGCCAAATCTTGATACTGAGCAGTAAGACACAGAATTATGAATATATATATTTTTCTACTAAATTTTGACAGGCATTTGAACAGTAGTGGAACTATCTTAATATATCTAGATGGCCTAGAAAACAGGCTCATTCTAACAACTAGTCTTAGAACTGAGCATATAAGGCCACTGAACTGTCAGCTGTACTGCAGCTGGTGGTGGTCTAGTCTGTTCTGTAGCAAGTTGTATTGCTACTATATAGGCATATAGTAGCATATATATCAAGAGAAGCTGTTCATGCCTATGGTAAGGATATATAGCTTAGTGTTAGGGCTTCTGCTGTGTTTATGTTCTCCAGAGTAGATCTATGATGTGCTAGCACCAATATTGTTCCTGTATAAATGGAAAAACCACTTGGGCAGAGACTGCTTTGGTGAAACATTCCAGAACTTAGTAACTAATAGCTGAGTGCTGGAGTTCTGCTTACCTTGTTTTCCAGAGATTTGTGGCAAATCTGAGGAAGTTATGGGAGTAAACGGTTGCCCCATGTTACAACTAGACATATGTTCACACAAGTCCACCTGCCAGATAAATCTAAGATTTACCAGCACTTCAGTATTGTTAAATGACTAATCAGTTGAACTTCTATAGCATCAAATCAGCATGAATACTCAGTGTTGTTCTAAAGCAATGTGTAAACTGAGTTCAGTGTTCACTGTGCACACCTTGTTGAAGCCAGCTTTCTACAGTATTAAGATACTTTTGTTCTCCAAAACTATCTCATGTTCTGATTCCTGTTTAATCAGATTGATTGTCCATTAGTAATACCTGGTGGTAAAATGCTGTACAATACTTGGAACAGCCCCCAGAAAGCAAGTAATGCTGAGCTTGTAATGTCCAAAGACATTAATCCTGGGAACTGGTCACAGCTGCCAGAACTTTTCTAGCCTGTCTATAGAGTTCTGAGTAGAGACATTACCATCAAAATGCTCATCTGAAATGATGTTTTCATATGTGTTTCTTTTCACTCCCTAGAGTTGTGGTATTGCTGTGGAATTCTGCAGCCACGTAACAAGAGCATTCACTGTTAGTACTAAGGGCAGTAGAGTAGAGCGTGCAGAAGAAGCTCTGTCTCACATGGGCAGCTCAGTAAGTATCTACTGTATGGGGGGGAAAGGGGTAACCAAGTCACAAACTATGCCAATATCAAGTCATAAGGATGGCCTTTGCCTTTTCTTTTTGGAATGCTTAAAACTCTTCTTAGGCTTCTACTGTTAACAGGGGTGATGAAGACTCACATTTTCAATCTGTTACTACTACCTCATAGTAGAACTACTACCTCAGCTAAAAGTTTTAGCTGAACTAGTAGGTTGGGTTAACCTTGAATTGCCCCATTAGGATTAAGTGCTTCCCTCTTCCAGATACTCGGAGGTGACTAGGAAAGATTGTTCTGAATATGGGATGCAACTGGAGCTTTCAGAATGCAAGCAGGGCTCATTATTTAGGCCATACTATCATATCAGTCTGAGTGACATGGTTGGGGCTGGAATACTGCTCTGGTAATGCATGCACTGGGCCTTCATGTGAATGTGAGTTATTTCAAGTGATAGTTTTCATCTGTATCTGCCCAAAGTAAAAAAATAAACTAGGTGGCTGTAGAGATACTGGGTTTTTAACCATACTGAGCCTGTCCTGTGGTGTCAGTTTCTAGTGGGACCAAGAACTGGACCTTTTCTCTTGAGTTAGGTTTTGGATTTGGTTCTGAGGACTAACAGGGAGGCAGGTATGCTGCATGTAGGAGCCTCAAATTACATAAAGTATTTTAGCAAATGTTAAATGCCTTAAGCAAATGGATTATAAAGAGCCCTACTTAGCACTTTAATACTTTTTTTTTTAATTAACAGGTTTTCAGTGGTATCACACTGACCAAATTTGGAGGAATTGTAGTACTGGCTTTTTCCAAGTCTCAGATCTTCAAGATATTCTACTTCAAGATGTATTTAGCTATGGTTCTGCTGGGAGCAACACATGGACTAATATTTCTTCCAGTTCTGCTTAGTTACATAGGTAAGATGTGACAGTTGGCTCCAAAACATGTTTCAAACAGAAACAGCTAGCTGCCTCTGTACGTTTTTCTTCCCCATGAAATGGAAAGGTTTGTGAAGATACAAAAGCAGAACTTGAATGTGCCTCACTTGTCCAAGTAGGCTTGCTTTGGAGAGCAGTGCAGGCTCACTGTTCAGGCATGCTTAGGTGAAGCAAATGCAGTCTTGTCCTGTGCTGATTTTCATGGAGATGGCTTCTAGGCCCATGTGGCCCAGCAGACAGTAGCACAATTTATTTGTGTCTCAGCCTGGGGACACGATGGTAGGGGGAAGCAGCAAACCTGCTGTGGGATGCTGGATGGTCCAAATACTTGTCCTCCTGAATTTGGGAATTCACGCATACAGTGCGGCTCTTAAAAGTAGACTAATTCAGCCTTACTAAGGGGGTTAAGACTGGAGATTCACCTACTGCACTTACTGCTGTTGCCAGCTATTAACAGCTGAGCAGAAGTATATTCCTCCTTGTTAAGCTAGACCTAGACAGCTCACCTCTGCTTCTTGATCAGCTGCAATGCTGAGACTTGGGAATTAACTCTGTTTTCTCTCTCTCTCAGGCCCATCAGTAAATAAAGCTAAAACTAGTGCTGCACAAGAGAGGAACAGAGGTACAGAACGGGAGCGACTCCTCTACTTCTAGTTTTTTAAACAGTGTTCAGTGGACTACATGAACTGTGGCTTAGGCCCAGCTCTTCTTAAGAACTGAAGCGCAGCAATGTTCTATGACTATCACACTGTAACCACCACTGACTTGACTCCTGCACAGATTCAACTAAAAGATCAGCTGCAGCTTTGGACATAGCTTTAAACTCAGGAAATGCTACGTGTGGCTCATGTAACAGTATTACTAAAACTAGATGTGTTAAGATTACTAAAACACTTCTGTTGTCAAGAGGTTGCGCCTTTTTCCTCTAGAAACCTGAACCACCTGTATTGAGATTTGAATAGCTTATTTTGTCAATGAAATGGAGGTGATGTGTAGGAGAATGGACTGCTAAACCACTGACACTGATTTTAAATGCAGGTCAATGCAATTTTTGTCTCTATTTTTAGGGGGAAGCCATCACAAGTTGTAATATTTTTAGTACTATTTGCCAAAATGTCTTGTATATACTTTATTATAAAATAGCAATTTTGTAGTTCAAAAATCTACTTAAACGCAATAAATTAAGTTTATACATTTCAGTGGAAGAGTCTTTCAGAATGTTGTGGGCTTCATGAGAGCTTGTTCTCCAAAAACTTGTTTGAAGAAGGTGACATGTTCTTCACAGTGCTCACCTAAGGAGAGGAGGGGAGACAGACACTAACTTTAAAACTTGGAAACAAGACTAGTTTTACCTTAGTTCATAAGGGCTAATTTTTATCTTTAATGCCTTTAAGTAAAGGAGTTTAATAATTTTAAAGCAGTAGAATACTGAGCTACCTCCTGTTCTGTGACAAGGATTCTTGTGCTAAAGCAGTTGTTTGATCTAATTACAGTATTTAACAAGCAGATTCATATCCACAAGTTCTTTACTGCCAAGATACAAGATCTCAGAGTGGGATTCTGCACCTACAGGCTCTCTGGTGATACTGTGTTGCTGGTGCAAGCCAGTGTAACTTGGTTTTTGAAGTAAGAAGAACTGTAGTACAAAACAAGCCTTGAATTTTTGTCATCTGTAGAAACAAACAACTGAACTCTAAGGTTTCTTGACCCAGTTTCTGGCTTCAGGAGAAAGCGATAATCAGCGATAATGACTCAGCTAAGCATAGAAGTGCAAGCAACTGCAGGCCAAACAGGTTAGCTTAATCTGCAAATTCCTGTTTGGCTCAGTCTCTTTACTCCTGGGTGCAGTATAGAATGGGATATGACAAGTTAACTTTGGAACTATGCTTGAAGGCAAGTCTAAAATACAGGCTAAAAAGCACCACAAATTTTATCTTGTAATTCATACTTGACTGGAAGTGAAACTAATCTTAATTCTACTTGCACAATTGAGTATCTGATTGCTTATTGCTTACCTGGTGTAAAACTAGGGTTTCCTCGTAACCGCTGATTTCTTTGCTCAAAGAATCGGAATATAGTGTAGAAAAGCATGTCATCTTCTGCTTGTTTTGCTGCATCAAGGAATTTGCGGGCTGAAATGCTGTCATGTCCTCCAATGCCCCTGATGAATCTCAAGGCAGCCAAAACTTGGTGTTTGGACAACAGAACTTCCACTATTTCGTCATTTGCTGTGGAAAGTCTCTGTGAAGTCAATCATAGCTGTAAGACTATGCTTCTAACATGTGACTGAGATGCTAGCTAGTCACTTCAAGCTTGGTCAGGTAAGTTGTTTGATAAGTTAACCCACATGTGACATGGAGTTACTATAGTCTGAAATGCTTACTTTTAACATGTCCAGAGAGAGCTGGTGTGCAGGAGGGTAAATGCTTTCCAGGGACAGTAACAGACAAGCCTAGGCCAAAAGCAGAAATAACCTTAAGATTCTGAAGACTGGCCATCTCTATCACTAGCTTATTGAGATAACTGGTCTTACATACCAAAGGCTTTGAGTCACTGAGCACATGGTATTGCAGAAACTGATGGAGCATGTAGAACAAGTTGTGTTGAACAAGGGTTTTGATGACCAGCTCGTACAAGTAGTGCTGTAAATGCAGGAAGACCACCATCAAAGGTATGTCTCAATACCAGTTTTTACTGTCTAGAAGGTAGCAGTCTGTAGGACTTGGACATATGACCAGGATTGGTTAGAAACCCCATGTCATTTCATGAAGTAAGGTGATACACATGGCATGTGTAAGTACTTTACCTGAACTGCAATCTGGAACTGGTTAAGAGAGCGAATGTATTCCATCAGGACTGCTATAGTGAACTTATGAGGTTCTTCCTGAACAAGAAAGTAAGTGTTAGGTGGAACTTGCATAGCTTCCCCCTTTAATGACGCCCCATAAGGATGGGCATCAAAATACCTAATCCTGACAATAAAGCCTTCTGCAGGCTAACACTTACCTTCTTCTCTGTAAATACAGATAAAACATGTGTGTACATGTCAGACTGGTCAATAACTGCTTGAGTGCGAACTGGACGTTTCAGGAGTGGATTACTTCTACTCAGACCTGCCTCTACCACCTGCAAGAAGAAAGCCCTTTTAAAAGAAGACTAGTGTTGCACAGTTTTAGTCAGTCTTATCTGTACAGAGATCATTCTCCACTGGGAATATAACTACAAACATGTTTTGTTACTGAGCAAGTTTACATCTGTGGTCACATTATACAGAATGCATTCTGTTCAGTATGGGCTTCTGTATTTAGTTTAAAGCTGCTTTTAAAAGTAATGTAAACTTAGCTGTTATAGTTTGCCTCAAAGCAAAGAGATGAATCAAACTTACTTTAACACATACCCTGGGCTTTTAAAAGGATTTTCAGTATGTGGCTGTACTATGTGAGTTAGTGCTTGAACTTGGTGTTTTAACATAAGCATCAGGGCTGCACCTGTTGAGCAATGTTAAAATGTGCCATGAAATCACTGGTTTGAAAACTACTTCAGAAGTTACATATTCCAAGCTGCTTTTTAAGCTTCTACCCTCTTCTGCTTTCAAACACTGGCGTGTGTTACTTGTCATGCTGGAGATCAGCGTGCATCACCTGCCACGAGGGACTGATCAGTGGGGGTAGTGCACCTTGCACGGTAGACCTTCTCTATTAAGCTTGGGGCAGCCAGGACCTTAGGGTAGACCTGAATTTCCTAAGTTGAAAAGAGCATGCCTTTACCATGATGCAATCTGAAATGCAAATAGCATTGTCCTATCTTTGTAAGCTGCTGTAGCTAACATGGTTTACCATAGTATAGCTTTGCTCAGCCTCCAAGTACTTCTTATATTCATGATTCAGTTTGTCAAAAACAGTTGCAATCACAGACAGTGATCCCCTTTCTGGCTCACTGAGCACTGGAAAGATAAAAAGAAAAAGAGAACTATAAGGAGAAATAACCAGGGGCTTTAATGTTGCCATTTTCAAAAGGTTATCTCTGCTCTAAGCTTGATTCTAAACTTAAAAAGCACTTTCAGACATGTTAGATTTTAACTAACTGGGGAGTGGGTTGAATTCTTCCATGCTGCTACTTTAACTAACCTACTAACTGCAGTCTAGGTAAATGCCATCTTCCAGGACCAGCTTCAGAGGTGATTTCATATTTAAGAACAGCCCAGCTAACTTGTGTCAGTATTTATGAACAAGCAGAACTGAATTTTCAAGATACAGACAAAGCACTTGAACTTACTTTGAGAGCACACAGACAGGATAACCATTTTGCATTCTTTCCTTTGGAGAAGGAAATCCATTAGTTTTCCTTTATCTAGCAAGAGGTTAACTATGGGTTCAAGTTTCACTTGAAGACTCCAGAGGTAACCTTGATTTGAAGGAATAAAACAAAAAGTTAATTGTCTTGTATAGTATAGCCCAGACATCCAACTTTTCAGTCTTTAAATGAGAACACATCTGGATTATAACTTATTTACCTTCCCAAGTTTGTTTTAGAGCAGCATTACCCCTGAGAAGTTGTAGAAATGTGGTTATCTCAGTTATTACTACTGAGAGCACTCACCTTACTAGGTACATGTGCTTAGCTGTTCTAAGCTGCTTTGTGCACTGAAGGTATAAACCAGCCACCCTTTGAGTACAGCAGAGTGAGACAGCTCACTGCTTACCTTCACTTGCACTGATGATAATATCAGGTTGAAAGACAATCCAAGAGGAAGAATCTGAATGTTAAAGTTCTAACATCAATAGTTAACATTTGATTCTACACTGTTGCTACTATTCACATTACTGTACTGACGCAGATCCCATTAATGTACTTCCATTTACTGTCATCTTATCTTGGAAGTCTTGAACCTTATTCTTGGAATTATATCTACAATTTCATGGTGTACCTATCAGTAATGTAATGCAAGTATCTCAAATGAGCAAGTATAGTAGTATACTAGATTTCCATAATTAATAGTTCCATGAAAACATTAGTCTCTTACAAAGCATACTTTGTCTTGAAGTATAATCAGCTAAAGCTGGACTTAATGGGTAATCGTACATAGAATAAGGCTTACAGTTGTAGAGTAGTTAAAGGATACAGAGTTTACATGGAACAGGAGACTGACTAGTCACAGAGGCTGGACCTGCAGTAAAAAAATAACATCAGGTGAAAAACCAGTAGTTCTGACAGCTCTCCTGTGCTAACAAAATACAAACTATAATCTTACACTGAAAAGCACACATAGATTATAACACCTCTAGCAGTCCTACAGCACACAGACAAAAAATGAAACTCCCATTCATGTTAGCCAGATCATCTACAAAGTTTGATGCTGAGAAGGGAAACAAATTCTTCAAAACAGACAAGTGACACCATGTATGCACAAGTATCTTATCTCTAGTACTGTAATTCCACATACATAGATGTCATCTGCTGTATTTATGTAAGAATTGTAAAACGGAAGACTGGTCTCATCCTAAACTTTGTTTAATACAAACCTCCACCTGCAGATTTGTCAGTCATACTTGCTATAAGTGACTTAAACTCAGATATTTAAAGTGCAGTTGATCCTCTAGAAGTAATTTAAAAACATCTTTCTATTATATAAAGAGAACGATCCTACTTTGCCCTGTGCTAGTGGAACTATGCTCAGATTATTTCTAGCTACTTCCAGCTTGATGGTAATTATCTGCTACACTTCTAGGACAGAAGAACAGAAAGGTAATCAAAGAAGAATCTAAGTGTTGAAGTCTTAACGTTGACTACTTTTCTGTAGTAGGCATAAGCTTGGAACACAGGTTTACACTCAATTCCTTCTTAACTTATTTCCTCTCTCACCCTGTCCTGGGTTCAGCAGTAGCAGTCATTTTTCCCCTTCTTGGTAGCTGGTGCAGTGCAGTGTTTTGACTTTCAGCTTGGGAACAGAGCTGATAGTGATGTTTAGGTTTGGCCAAGGACTTTGTGAGCCTCATGCTCTGCCAGGGAGGAGGGGAAGCCAGGAGGAAGTAGAGACAGGACACCTGACCCAAACTGACCAAAGAGGTATTCCATACCACAGCACGTCATGCCCAGGATGTAACTGGGAGTGAGCCGGAAGGGCTGGGAGAGACTGCAGGGTTGGAGGAGGTATCGGTCAGAGCTTGGTCGGGCTGGGGGGGCGAGTTATCGGTCGGCTGGTGGTGAGATGATGTATTCTCTTCCCTTGTTATTTCCTCTATCATTATTATCATTGGTGGTAGCAGTAGTGATTTGTGTTATACCTTAGTTACTAAACTGTTCTTATCTCAACCCGTGGGAGTTGCATTCTTTTCGATTCTCCTCTCCGTCCCTCCGAGAGCAGGGGGAGGGCAAGAAAAGGGGGGGAAGTGAGCGAACGAATTACCTGACTGGGTTTAAACCACGACAGTTCCTTTTGGCGCCCAACGTGGGGCACGAAGGGTTGAGATAACGACAGATCTGACTGGATTAATAGTCACTCGTCACAATGCTGATTTATTGGGTCTCAGAGTTGTTTTGCTTGATCTCACAGCTTCAGAATGTTGTAACTTACGTAGAGCCGGTATTTGCTGTGATAGTGTTTATCAAGTATGGGGCTTGGGCTAAGGTTCTTGTCTCACTGTGCTTTATGGCAATGGCTTGTAATACGGGCGGGCTCCAGCAGCAGGGCGGGACGGACGTGGCCGTGGACTTGTACCTGGCCGTCCGGCTGCTCTTCACCGTCCTGGCCCTCACCCTACTCTCCATCTTCGTGAGGCTGTGGGGAGCCGAGGGGGAGCGGCCCCGGGAGCCGGCGGCTGCTGAAGCGGCCCGGGAGAGCGGCCCCGGGGACCAAGCGGCGGAGGAGCCGAGCCCCGCGGCCGAGCCGAGCCCCGCGACAGCCGAGAGCATTCCCCGGCAGCCGCCCGCCGAGCCCCAGGAGGATGCAGGAGACCACGCAGCATTTCCCAGCAAGGCAGAGGAGGAAGAGCTGGACTCAGGAAAAGAGAAGCTGGCGGTGGGAGAGCCGACAAGTACAGCAGCTACACCAGCCCCAGTGACAAGTACAGCAGCTACACCAGCCCCAGTGACAAGTACAGCAGCATCAGTTGAGAGTTCTGAAGGTTTTGAATGGCCTTTGGGTATCCTTGGGACCTGCCTGCTGATTGTGATGGGGATCAGCATGTTGGCACACACACAGGCTGTGTTCTACCCACCACCATTTTGTCTGATCTCAAAAGTTAAGCAGAGTCAGGTTTGGGTCTTGTCTGGGGTTAGACAAGGATATAGGGGGACCAAGAGATTTTCTCCAAGGCTGGAGAGTCATGAGTGGCAGGGTGTGTGGGACAGTATGGGCAAGTATCTAGTCCACTGGGCCCCTCCAGTGCTTTGGAAGCATCGGAGATGGAAGGCAGCTGTATGGAGTCCCCAGCAACAAGCTGCAGAAACTGCTTAAGGGGACAGTGAATTATTTTGAGCCTGGTGGGCCCATGGCACTTCAGGCCATCAGAGCAGAGATGCAACACAGAGATGGACTCATGATTGAGGGGTGGACTTAGCAATGGACACTATTGCCCAGGTTATTCACGAGTGTGAACACTGCACACAGTCTCTCCTGCTCTGGAAGACTGTTACAAGAGATGGAGCCTGACATCATGGACCAGATGGACTCAGCAGCTTTATAGGGATATAGCTTTATAGTCCATGCACTTAGATAAGAGTGGAGTGATGGGTGTATTGAAAATGTGGGATCTGAGCATGACGTGAATGGTATGGAATAAGGGGTGGATAATGTCCTGGGTTCAGCAGTAGCAGTCATTTTTCCCCTTCTTGGTAGCTGGTGCAGTGCAGTGTTTTGACTTTCAGCTTGGGAACAGAGCTGATAGTGATGTTTAGGTTTGGCCAAGGACTTTGTGAGCCTCATGCTCTGCCAGGGAGGAGGGGAAGCCAGGAGGAAGTAGAGACAGGACACCTGACCCAAACTGACCAAAGAGGTATTCCATACCACAGCACGTCATGCCCAGGATGTAACTGGGAGTGAGCCGGAAGGGCTGGGAGAGACTGCAGGGTTGGAGGAGGTATCGGTCAGAGCTTGGTCGGGCTGGGGGGGCGAGTTATCGGTCGGCTGGTGGTGAGATGATGTATTCTCTTCCCTTGTTATTTCCTCTATCATTATTATCATTGGTGGTAGCAGTAGTGATTTGTGTTATACCTTAGTTACTAAACTGTTCTTATCTCAACCCGTGGGAGTTGCATTCTTTTCGATTCTCCTCTCCGTCCCTCCGAGAGCAGGGGGAGGGCAAGAAAAGGGGGGGAAGTGAGCGAACGAATTACCTGACTGGGTTTAAACCACGACACACCCTCTCCTAAATATGCATCATAGAAATATTAGTAACCAACATCCTAAAGCTGAAACACCAGTGTGCCAGCTGTTACATTTAGATAATCTTGATAATAGTGTTAGATACTTATTATACAGTAATATGAGTAATACCTGCTACAGGTATTTGATAGGGTTGTATTGATCGAGGCGGAAGTACAAATTGATGGATAGTAGTAGACCCATCAAATTCTCCTTTTAGCTTGATGTCAAATATAACTGAAGTCTGCAATTGAGAAGAAAAAATTAGTATTCACAAGTGTGAATTACTCCCCATTTAGGTGCATTCATAAGCCTACCCTGGTTCTGTTTTCTATGTTTATATAGTCATAGCTCAACCAAAATGCTGGAGAAAAAGCACTCTAAGTTAAATGTGTAGAATAAATGTGAATTATAGATGAAATATCAACTAAACATCCTAATGAGATAAGATATATTATCTTCTCTTGGCCAGCTTCAGGAACAGGGACAAGAAGCCAAAGCCCTTCCACAAGTTAAGAGCAAATTACTACTCTAGCTTCACCACCGATCAAGCCTTGCTCCTGAGACTACAGACAAACAAGTTCTATCCACACTACCACATGCATAAGGTCACTTGAGTCCATGTAAGTTTTTGCAGATCTGGGCCTTCAAACTCAAGGAGCATATGTTTGTGTCATACAACATTCAAATGTTTCCAATATGGGAAGTTCCCAGGTTTCATAATTTAGTATCCAATTTAACTCTACTTCTTCATATGCTGCCTTAAAAGCCTACACAGTACAGCATGAGAGTATCACAGGAAACTAACAGGAATTAAAAAGAAAGTATAAACTCCAGGAATTAACAACAGCCCTGATTAAATGTTAGCCCAGCAAGCTAAATGGATAACTTTGAATCTCTTCTACCCTTATGGGTTTGTTCCTGCAAATACTCTGGCTTTTCACAAAGCTAAGCACATGCAAAAGCATTTCTAGGGCTAACAGGCACTGTTATTAAAGTCTGCCCATGACTTTCAACAGTTAAGGCACAACATGGCAACCCCATGGCAGTGGGGTTGGAAGTTGATGATCTTAAGGTCTTTTCCAACTCGTAACTATTCTGTGATTCTATGACCATAATATAAATAAATCAGACCTCAGTATCTTGATGATGGACTACCACCAAATTATCCACAACATTAAGTGCAAACTTCCCAGTTCTGTTCAGCTTTAAAATGTGTGTCTTCTTACAGGAGCCCTCTCTATGGAAACAAACAGGTATGAGAGCTGGTCAGTAAGCCTGTTTAAACTGGAAAACAATATGTCTCTTGTATGTGAATCACCATGAGTGTTCTTCATTCTATTCTTACCTGGGTAAGTGATAGAGGACTACTTCTGCTCCTGTACTATTGGAAGTCCTTGAGTGATGCCTCAAATAGAGAACATAAAGCTGTCCGTATCTAACAAGACAATGGGATTACAGCATTATTTTCAAATAAGAGCTCTAACCAGTCTACTAGAGCCATACATTTTATCCTAAAAGATGTGAGATTACCCAACTCAGGTAATCTATTAATCAGGACTAAACCAGCACTTGGTAAGTCACATGGCACAGCCTAGTCTCATGCAAGTTGGGCATCTGTGACCAACTCTATCAACACACCAGTTAAAGAAATAAACATTTTCAAAGTTTCTGTACAAATCAAGAACGATTTAATGTAAACCAGCTCTAGGATACTGTTTAGAGGCTTTGTTCATGGCAGTAACTGAAGCCCTTTAACGCAGTAGTACTGCTAGAACAAGAAACAGATGCAACCAAGTTAATATTCTTATCTTCTCTCAGCATCCCCTGAACTGTCACGCTTTTCCAAGGAAGGCTTAATTAGTTAGATACATACATTGTAGCCATAGCAATATCTCTTTCAGAGAGGCTGAGCTTGGATGACTTGGGTGCTGCAGGTAACTCAATTTCAAATTTTGATAGCTTTGACACTGTTCCACTCTGTTAAGCAGGAAAAAATAAATAATTATTAAGACATAAACCAGAGGTCTCAAGCAACTGTTAATCAAATGCTGTGTCAACAGCACTCCCAGGAGGCCAAGAGTGGCAATTGCCGAAAAGAAGAAAGGCATTGACACGAAGTGCGTGACTCAACACGTGCTTCTACTGTTATAATTTTAGCAGCTTTATCATCTTGATTTTGTAACGTCAGCTTCAGCTAGAAAAACCTTTCAATTTTAAGAAGTCAAGACAAATGTCTACACAAATCCCATTTACAATTGACCTAGGCATCTCAAATACCAGTTCTCTTCCTTCCTTTCTCTCTTCCAGCAAAGTATATGCTCCAAGTCATGAATAACTGCTTACTGGAAAGGACAAATATCAGTACCTCCTACCAGTCAGTTTCCTTTAGTTCCTGCTAAATACACAATCTGCCTTGACAGTAGCATATCCCTGCTCCTGCATAATGTTTCCTCTCTCCTCTTCGCCTTTACTATGGAATTTATATTTAAACAAGTTTTTAGAGTTTTCAAAGCTTCAACTGAAATTGACTTCCCATTCTCATTCATTCATTCTTGAGTGTAAAGTGTGAATGCTACAGCAATATCGCTTTTGCTAGAGCTCTATTTTCAAAGATTATTTCAGCACAGTACCTTTCTCAGGAGACCTTTAAAGATTACTTTCTGAACGCATAATAAGAACTATTTAACTTCAAGCTGCAACTCAACACAAAATGTCAAGGAGGGGAAAGCATGACCTAAGCCCTTAAAAAGAAAACTCTGAGAGGCTAACAAGTTCTACCAGCCACCTAGGAGAATGTCATTTCAGGATGCAGTACACATGATCAACACAAACCAGGAAATCATTTGAATAAACTGCTTTTTAATCTCTTTCCTTAGACTACCACAGAAATCTTACTAATCCTTTGACAGAAGCAAGACAAATGCTGTAATTCTTCACCTTATAATTACTGTGTGATTAACTTAAAACAGATTCTAGTTTTCACTAAACACCTTTTCAAGACAATAAGAAAAATATTTTCCTAACAAGCCACAGGGAAGAACACCAAGAGAAATAAATACTGTAAACCAACCATCTCATGCTTGGGACAATAATTGTTTCTTATGCGCTACTTTCTGTCTTTTTCAAAATCATCTCCTCACATTTGGAAGGTTGTAATTATAGTCACAAGTGAAAGGCCCTTATTTGTCATTACCGTACTACAGAGCGCCAAAGCTCATATCAAAAGTAAATAATCTCTTTAAATACATTTAAGTTGTCAAATATTGTGTCACTATTTTTTTTCCTCCATTTTTAAGGTCCAACAGTAGCTGGACAGACCTCTTTCCGAAGGCAACATAACAGCGAGCAAATTGCTTAATTCTAAGCCATCGCCTTGGCACTACCTCATAGATTTTTGCTTTGTCCTTTGCTTGTAGTCCTACAAGAATGTGAACACATGCACCTCTTATAAGAAGCACGGGAAAAACAACAGAATATTTGAATGAAGAAGCAGTCTATAAAGCAGCACACAGAAGTTTGGAATACATCCCTTTACCTTGAAATAGAATGGCTGCAGGACATTGCCAAGGACAGTGGTTGAAAGAAGAATAACAGAGCTCTCTGGACAATACATGTACCAGTTGACATTAATACTCTGATTCTTCAGAAGTTTTAAACTTCGTTTCTCTGGTAATACCTGAAAAAAACAGGATATTAGCATTGTATTACTGTCAGTATTCTAACAACAGAATTGATAGGAATGTTAAGTGAGAAACTGTTAATTGTAAGGGCATTTACAGTGCTAGAATTAAACCTCAGAAACCTGACAATCACAGCTTAGGCCCCAATTTACTGTAGCTAAGGAAATGCACATCAAATCCTCCTCAGATCCTAACAAGTTGAAAGGTGCTGTGTTTTCCCCTTATCCAGGTCTGGATATAAGTTCTATCCATAATGGAGAACACACGTAGCTTGACACAACTAGTGAAGTTTTAATAAAAAGTTATTACAGTATCTTTGCTACCTGCACTCCTCAGCTTCCTTAATCTTTTATTTTAAGAACTTAAACAGTACATAAATTATTTTCATTTTAAGGGCTTAAATAACTTTTCCTTGATTCACTTACTTGATTCAGCCCTTTTATTTGCAGGGTTGACATTCATTATCTCTTAGCTGTCAAACGTATTTCCCCCCTCAATCAGCAGTAAATGCTGCTGCTTTTTCTGTTACTTTCTTTACTGTTAGTTATTAGTAATTATGTGAGACACCCTGTCTTAGCTCCAGGACTGGAACTATTGGAAGTGCACAACTTTGGAAAACATTCATAACATTCCTCATCATGAATGTCAGAAAGGGCTATTTATTCATTAGATTTCTTCAAAAACATATGCAAAGGTAGATACACGTAACACAGAGGAACTCAGACAGTGAGATCAACATAGGAGAAAACTGCTCCTTTGCACATGGGCATCATTATCTAGTCAATTATTTGTTCTTTGCTGCATTTTAATCATGCACACATCCTCCCTAATGCTGGCTTGTTTTGCATGAAGTGGTATTTCACATTAGATTTAAATATACGTATACATGAATACTACATGCAAGCCAAGAGCATCTACCATTAATCTAGAGTTCCCAAGGCTTAACTAAATACTCCTTTATACATGGTCTGTTAGCAGTGCTAAATAACCTGTTGATAATAAATTCCCCCTGCCTCAAAAATGTATTCCTTGTGAAGAAAAACAGTCTGCAAACAAAATGGCAGAATTTTTTTGTTTTAGTAGTCTGCTTTCTCAATGAGAGAGCTAGAAGAAAGGAATTCAAAGAAACCATCACAAATTTACATTTTCAGCTCTCTAGATATGTCCTGCAGGAGTTATTTGTATTACCTGGTAGAACTCAATTCCTTGATCTGTGATGAAGACAATTTCTGTTGAGCTTGTCCAGCAGAATCCTAGAATATTGGCGTTCTTTGTCTTTTAAAAAACAAGCAAACAGACACTCTTCTACTTGGAATAATTAACTATTCAGATAAGTTAATATTACTAAATGAAGAACACAAGACCAAAGGCAATTTATTTACCAAATCATTGGAGTTAATACTTTTGGTTAACTGGAGACCCTGCATCATGTATGTACTTATGTAATCATCATCATGTATTTGTGTAAAAACTTCCAAAACAATGATTGAACACAACTGCTCTATGACCTGAATTTTTGGCAGCATGTGAGATTTACAAGTTTATTACACAGTCAAATTTTATTTTTGCCCTAAATACAACCAAGTTCTGCTGGTTCAAATCATACTGCAAATTCAACCAATTCCTGCCATGAAAAGCAGGTTCCTTATGTTAACAGAAATTGAGAGCTAAGTGGAAGTATCTGCCATGAATTCACTCAGAACACTACCATAAATGCTTTGCTAGAATGATATACTCAAACACATAATTCTAAATAATGAATCAGACTGCTTCATCTTTGAAGTCTACAGGAATAAAGGGATCTGTGCAAATCAGATGTTTAAAAATTCACTTCAGAATACCCCAAAACGTAACTTATCTTAGTTAAAAACTGAAAAGTACCAAGCAATGTTTCTGACAAAATAATAATAAAAAAAATAAAAAGGGTTGTTTAAAAATACCAAACGGCACACAAACTGGTAATAGCTTACTAACACTGATCAGTGAAATTAGGGTAAACCAGCCACATTAACCTATCTGGCATTAGTATAATTACTGTCTGCTGTTTCTCTATCATCAGCACTTTGTCTCTTCTCTTTCCCAAACCCTGACATTTGTTGCCTCAGCATTTGTTGTCATAGCATTTCCAGTCCCTTCTAGGAAAGGATTTACAGTGACTGGACGAGGAAGGTTTTTCTGGTATTGTTAATACCTGCTTGTTTACTTTAATTCAGATAGGCAGTAGTGGCTACATATTTATTTAATGTTAGTGCTGGGGAGGTATCCCAATTAGTTCTCTTGTAGAGTAGAGGCCCCCAGTACAGTAGAGATTCATCTAGGCATGTAAGCCTGGCACCTTTAACTTACCTTACATTCCTGTGTATACTCTAGCTGAGGGCTATCTGGAATAAAATTCAAAAAGTCCTGCAAAAACACCCATAAAGTGTATTAGCAATTACAAACCACAGAGAAGATACATACAAAGGTACAAGAGAATAGTTATTCATTTTTCAAATTCTTTTGGATATATTGAAGATAAACATGACTTACTATATTCCACTTCACCCCTGATATGGAAGTCCTTATAGAAGTTGGATCCCCCCCCACATTTTCTTAAATGATAACACTAGCAAGACAACAATGTTGCCTGCTCAGCCTCTCAGGATGATACAGGAATTTTCACTGCAGCTCTTGTTAGCCATGAGACCTCTTGAACATTTGTCTGAGCTTCTACTCGGGTACTGCAAGTAGACTTTCAGCTCCAATTCCCTATCTGTACAGTGCAGGTTTCTTACCACACTCTTCAAAGTTCTCTGCACAGCCAGTATCTTGTTCCCCAAGGAAAACTTGATGCACTTCACTTCTCCTTTGTCTTCCATCCTACAGAGAAAGAAGTTATGGAAATACTGTCTAAAATAGCTTCTTACAGATCTCTGTAATATACCCTCAAAAAGAGAGAGGAAAAAAAGTGCAATGTAAATGCTTTTGAATACAACTTTGAGCATTGCCTGACAAGTACAGGATTCAAAATTCAGACTGAAAGATAACAGCAGTCCACTCTTCAGAAGTCCTGAATTAGCACCTGAAGTTACCACAAATGTTCAGCTCTGTTGTCCTATGATGCAGAGCTGGACAACTGTGGGACCATTCAAACCTGAGTTTTCAGTTCTGTCCCAGTAAGTCTGGAGTCCTGTGACACTCACCAACATCCTGCAGTCAGCTCCTTTACTTCCAGAGCTACCACTAATTGACACAAGCCTATATGCCTCCCCTTTAGGACACACCCTCTAGAAGAATTTCTGATGTTAGAGGGAGAGTGAAGCTGTTTTCATACCATTTAAAAAAAAAAAAAAGTATTTTTACCAAACAAGCATCAGTACAACTGGCATGAATAAAGTAGTTCTACTTCCAGTATGTGTTATTAAGTCCAGAGAGCTAGTGAAGCAGGAAAACTGTGGAACCTCCTGAAGTTCACTGAGTATTTTCAACTCTCAGGATTTGCCACCAGGGTAGTCAAATAACAAAGTCAAATAAAAATAGCAACTCTCAGGACAGTCCCCATGTAATTCCTGACAGATCGCAGTAAACACACCTTGACTACAAACTGCTTCATCCATATTTGGACTGAAGTAACTTGTAAGTAAAAGAATAATTCCTTACGTATGGACAGAGATCAAAGAGCTATCACTCTTAAAGGCATATATAAAACAGTCTTCTAAAGGCAAAAGTTTCACTGAAAGCACTGTTGGTCAGATTCTGCAAAATAAAACGCTTCCACAGGAAACAGAAGACATTAAAAAAATCCAATTTAGGTTAAACAAGAAAAAGGATGGAAGAAACCTACATGTTGGAAACACTGTGCTTGAATCACAGGCATGAAATTGAGAAATCACAGTTCTCTACACATTTAAGTTTGTTTCATTTTATTTAATTTGCATCCTTGGATAAGTCACTACTGTTGCAGGAATCCCCACACTCTCTCACATATATAGCATGTCTTATTAAAACACTGCTGTTTAAAAAAGGAAGCCACAGCCTAATAACCTCCAGTCTTCCACCCCACCCCATAACAAAGACTATAAATTCATGAGGGCAGAGCATGCCATCTTAACTGCAAGATTAGGTTAAAGAACAAAAATCAAAAGATGACCACAACAAGTTTTATGCCTGAATTACAGCAGATCAGGCCTAAGTACCACACAATGTTAACACTGCAGAATTCCATCCAAAGGCAGCAAAGATGAAGGTGTCTTACCTGAAAGAAATAGGGTTTCTATCCTCCAAACCTTTAACAACAACTCCTGTAGCACCACCGGATCGAACTGCAAAAACCTATGAAAAAGTTGTGAACATATTTGTAGCTTATTCTAATTCATAACCTTAACAAGTTGTCTTTTCTATAAGCCATACTTTGATTTTATTTTTTTTTACTAGACACCATTTCTGTTCTTACACAGATCTGTCGGTTCACACTGGGATTCAGTAAATAATAATTTCTTTCTCTGGAGCTCCGAGTTTACTTAGAGTTGATGGGTTTCTAATGGTACTGTAATAGTCTTGTAGGCATATTCTGAACCACTGGGCATGTTAAAACAGTACAAGTCTGTATAAGCTTTTCTCTTGCTTTTTTAATATATTAATATTTTCCTAAGTTGGGTACTAGCAAAAGTATCTGAGAAATGAGAACACTTTAAAACAAAAAGGAAATCAGCTTGGGGATTGGGAAGAGAGGCAACTCAATGACCCAGAAGCTTGATCTTGTCTGAACATGTTATCAGTTAGAGTTTAATGGTAATCTGTGGTTTGGCATGTACCTAAGAAATTTCAGCCGCTTTGCACTAACAACTTAAAGAATTCCTTTAGCACAACTGCACATACGCATGTATAAAACCTGTTATAGCTATACTGCTTATTGAGCCAGAATAAGATAACATTAAAAAAAAATAAAAAATCCATGTTGTTACAAAGTTTAACTATCTTAGAAAGTCAGGGAGTGCCTTATTTAGGCTTACTGTATGTGTAGAATCACCAAACACACCAATCAGGTCTCAGAATAACAGATATGCATATATATATATATATATATATGTACGTATAGACACACACACACACATACTATGATCGATTATTGGAACAGGCTTCCCAGGAAATGTGGTGGAATCACTGTCCCTGGAAGTGTTCAAAAACCATGCAGATGAGGCCCGTACTGACATGGCTCAGTAGTGGTCTTGGCAATCCTGACATAATGGTTGGACTTGATGGTCCTGAAGGTCTTTTCCAATCTAGCTGATTCTATGCTTCTATATTATTTTGTAATATTAGACACACTACTGGTGCAGTATGCTCATGTGACAAGACTAAACTGTAAACAAGTCTACAGCCTTACTAGAATTGTAAATACTTAGTGACTTTTAGTATCGATATAGATAGAAAATGAAGGCAACACTCCTAATCTTTGTGAGATGACAGCAAGGACAGATCTCTTCGAGGGTCATTCATGTGGGAAACTGGCATTGAAATACTGGTTACAAGTGATTAAAGATACACTGGAAATTAAGCAATTTTAGAGTAGCAAAAAAAAAAAACACGGAGAATTTAGATTACAGTTTCTTTCAAGTGCACTCTTAACAACCAGCTTCTGCATAGTTACATCACACCTGCACTGAGATGTAGTGTTTCCTGACAGACAGATGTAAGAAATCTTATTTCAACAGAACCTCAAAACATAAGCAAAGCACTATGGTTTATAAAGAGAAAGGATACCAATAATTCTGAACAGAGAGCAACAGCAAGAAACACATTCCAAAAATACTCTCCCATCTCCAAACATGCCACTGCCAGTGACCACGCCACACATGGCAAATCGTAACATTTATACAGGGAAGAAAACCTGAGCATGTCAATTCTGTGAATAGTGAGGTCACAAAATGGTTATGGGAATGAAGACTGTGGAATACATCCACATCTATATAAGCCTCATGACAGACTATGGATCTTTTAGCTATAATGAGCTTAATACTCAGAAGCCTGTAGTAATACTAAAGACAAATGCATTTAAAAGAACCAAAGCCAAGAAATTAAAAGCAAAGTGCCTATTCAGGCCTGAGCCACAAGTGAAGCTACAAGTATTAGTTTTTATAAGTATACAGAGAAATGAAGCCAACAGTGAAGCGACAAAGTTTGGCAGTAATGCTGGGACATTCGAAATCGAAACAAAAAGTGCTGACTGAAAAATCCCAGAAGACCTTACAGCAGCAAAAGTAAAAGCAGCTGAAATTCAACCTACCATACCTACGTTGAAGCACTTCAGAACAAGGCTGCTGTCTCTACTCAAGATGCCAGGTCCTGAACCAGGCCCCCAGCAGCAACACCTCACACCACAGCAGTCTCACAAAATCACAGATGGTTTGGTTTGGAAGGGACCTTAAAACTCATCTGTCAAGGGCACGGGCACCTTTCACCAGACCAGGGTGCTCAAAGCGCCATCCAGCCTAGGCTTGAACACTGCCAGGGATGTGGCAGCCACAGCTTCTCTGAGCAACCTGCGCCAGCGTCTCACCACCCCCGTTGTAAGGAACTTTTTCCTTATATCTAACCTAACCAGGCCCACGCTCAGCAGCCCAGGGAAGAGGTCAGAACCAAACCCACGCATGAGAACCTCCACACCGCTCTGTCAGAGGGGCAGCAGAGCAGCAGCGAGAAAGGCTGAGGCAACAGGCCTGAAGCCGCGGCGGCGGCGCCGCCTGCAGAGCCCCGCGAGGCATGGCGGGGGTGCCCGGTTTCCGCCCGCCGCTCTGCCAGCACGGGGGAGCGCGGCCTGCCGCCGCCGCCGTCCCCACCTGCTTGTTGGCCTCATCAAAGAAGACGCAGTTGACGGGGTTGGCCTTCTCGAAGTGCACGGGCCGCGCGCACAGCGCCAGGTAGCAACCGCCCTCCGCGGCCCTCGCCCTCCCGTCTGCTCCTTCCCCTCCTCCTCCTCCTCCCGCCGCCTCTTCCTCGGCCGGCGGCGGCGGCTCGCGGCTCATGGCGGCGGCGGCGGCACCAGTCACCCAGCACCGGCGGCCACCGGCGAGCCCTCCCGGATCGGCCGCTTCCTGTTTACACTCCCCTCGCCCGTGACGCGGGACCGCCCGCCTTAAAGGCGCCGCGCACTCAGGCGCTGGGCCGGGCGCTTCCCACGCGGGCCTCGTGATACGGCACCCGCCCCGCTGGTCTCCTCGCGGCGCCCGTTCGCCGGCACCGCGATGCTTCGCAGTTCCAGCACGGGAACGGGCGCTATCGGTACTGCTTTGGCACATGAAACCGCTATGGACTGGCTAGCTGGAAAGGGAAATTATATCCTGAAATAGCCCTTGTGGCAGGAACAGTATTAATAGAATAGTGGGAATGTTGGTAAAATGTTTGAGCTATTCAGCCTGGAGAAGGCTCAGGGGAGACCTTACAGCAGCCTTCCAGTACCTAAAGAGGGCCTACAAGAAATAAGGAGAGGGACTCTTCATCACAGACTGTAGCAACAGGTTTAAACTGAAAAAGGGAAGATTCAGATTAGATATTAGGAAAAAAATTCTTCCCTGGCTCAGAGACACTGGTACAGGTTGCCCAGAGAAGCTGTGGCTGCCCCCTCCCTGGCAGTAATCAAGGCCAGGTTGGATGGGGCTTGGACCAAGCTGGTGTAATAGAAGGCATCCCTGCCGTGGCCCGGGAGATTGGGACTGGATGATCTTTAAGGTCTCTTCCCACCCAAACCATTCTGTGATTCTATGAAAACCTTGTTTAAGTTAACGTCTGGGCTGGTTCTTAGCATTTGCATTTCTTGTATTTTAGCTGGACAATAAACCAGCTAACGGGGTTTACCGGTTGATGCTCTGGCTAATGCCTTAGTTCAGTAGTTGCAAAACCTACAGTATAATTTAGAAGTCATATTGTCAAGTTGTATTTGCTTATTAGTTTAGAAAGAGAAATAAAAACTAAAGGGGAAAATGAAAAAAGCCTGAGATCATCACACCAATTTAGAAGTTTTCAGATTAGACCAGAGTGACACCGCTTAGTACAGGAGAAACTGAAGTATCAGATACTAACATGGTATAATGTGAACAACCGCTTGCTAGTTGCAATCCAGTTAGTCCAACTGGGACATCAGACAAGAGAAACCAATGTCACGATAAGGACTTACCACAAGTTATTTGTTCTGCAGGGCCCTTCTGCATCATTGAACAAATCTATGCTAACTAGACAGGACAAGTATTTCTGCAGCATTTAAAGTACCTTAAAGTTTTTCAATCTTTACAAAATAATAATAATCATAATAAAAAAAAATATAATCTTTTGCATTTTAGCCAAAAGGTAGTTAATCCAAGGCCAAAATTTAAGGAATTCTACTGACCTTTAACCTTCTACTTCCCAACAGGACAGCAAGCACTTTCTGCAATTGCAATAGGAATATTAAGATTGAAATTGAGGTACACAGGGTGAAGGGGAGGGGGTGCCTCGGTTTGAACTGACACCCCAAAAAACACGTTCCTCTCACTTCTGTCCTCTCTCCTCACTTGATGCAAAAATCCTTAACAATGAGCATCTTTCCTAGACAAGCATGTTGTAAGGTACTAGCAACTGCTTTGTATTTTTTTCTCTAAGAAATTAAACTTGGAATAAGCCTAGGATAGGACTGTCCACTTCACTTAAAAGCCACCTCTGAAGGAGAAGAATTTATTATATTTGGCAGCAGCAGCTTTTAAGTCTCCCTGAAGGGCTTTGATAACTGTAGCATCTTCCTCTCAGTACTTACTCTGTTCTTTCCCTGATACTTTTACTTTGGGCAACTGTTTCACTGAGCAATCTGGAATGGACTTAAGTCTCCAAAAGACCCAAGTTCCTTTATTTCAAAAGCAAGGGGTAAGTGCAAGACAACTGTCTCATCTAGAAAGGGGAAGAGTATCCACGTACTGGGATGAAATTGGCATAAACATCAAGGCTGTTTACTGTTTATGTAGGTGTTAGGATGCATTAGTGCAGTCCTACCCTAACACACTGAGGAATCCTTGAAGGCCTGTACCATGCCAAGAACCATGCAAGAATACCACCACAAAATGTTTTTACTTCACCATCAGTTTTCCAACAAAAAAAGAAGAAAAAAGTATCATTTTCACAGCACACTGTGAGAATGCCACTGTAACCACACTATATTCTGCTCCTGATAAAGAGCAGCAGCAGAAACAGTCATCAGTTAAAAAGAAGCTGATCAGAATT